GGACAGATGGTGGGTCGCCTCCCAGGCAGAGCTGGAAAGGGTTCCTGTCCCCTTATGTCATTTCATGGCTGGAGAAACTGAGGCTTGGAGAGCATGCTGACTTGCGGGGGCCCCACCTCACCCTGAACAAGCGATAAAGCAAGACAGCCCACCATCTGCTCCAAGCCCCAAGGTCTGAATGTGCGTGAGACTCAGCGGTGGGGGGGGAGTGGGGAGTGCTGGCAGAGCCCACAAACAAGAGCCCCGGACCCCAAGGCCTCCCTCCTGGGCCTCACCCACTGCACAGCGGGCACAGTGCCCACCTGCTCTGCAGCCACCCAGGGTTGTCATGGAGATGGCTATTGTGTGAAGAAGAGCAGGGTCCCCTCCCTTCCCCCACCCGAGCCAGGCCAGTCCTGGGAGGAGGGGCAAGAAGAACCCTAAGCTCAGCACAAGTTCCTGCTGACCCCGGCGGTGGCCAGGGGGAGGGGCAGCACACACAGGCCCCACAGTGCCCGGCTGCACCTGAGCGCCCGGCTAAGCGGAGCCCAGTGAGGGGGAGGGAAAGAGGTCTGTGGGACAGCAGAGGGAGTCCAGGCCCCTGCATGCTGAACCCCTGGTAGGACGTCACCGCCTACAGCAGCTGGCCAGCCTCAGGGATTAGAGGGGTGTGTGTGGGAAATGTGCCTTTATGACCTGGGAGAGTACGGCACCCCCCTCACCCGCCCCAGGCAGCCTGACGGCTCCAGGGAGGCCTCAGAGAACTTGAAGGGAGCTCGCACAGCCCGCGGGCACACCCGGGTCGGTGGGGCCGCGGCCATCCCCAGGCAGGAGCACAGGTGCACAGTGCTTGCTGCAGCCTGGGTCTGGGGGACTCGGGGGTCATGTCCTGCTTCCCCACCTGGAAGGGAGGATCTGGGACCAGGGGGCTAAGGGCGCAGGAGCCACTTGGTGGCACAGGTATTCCAGGAATGTCCACACAGAGCTTCCAGAATTCCGCAGCCCCTCCTCTGCCCTGAGCTCCCGCTGAGGAATTCCTGAGTGTAAACAGTCACCAGGAGGGGGCGCCTTGCCCTCTGCCCCTCGCTCCCCTCTGGAGACCCCATACCCAGCCCCCACTATCCCCAGGTCCTGCTTCCCTGCCTGTCCCAAGCCCGCCTCCCAGCCCCCAATGAGAGCCCGAGGATGTGAGGATGTGTCGGTGGGAGTCCTACCTGGCCCAGGTCCAGGGTGACGTTGACCTCGTTGTAGCCCAGGCCCCGGGACAAGGGTGGGCTCTGCCACCAGCGCTCTGTCCCGTCAATGGCGTTGCTGGCAGGGTGGGCCTTGTTGCTGATGGAGGTGGAGCAGATGTCACAGTACTGGCCCTGTGGGGGCAGACGGTCAGGTGGACAGCCAAGATGCCTGGGGGGGCCTCAACCTCCCAGAGTCACCCAGAGACAGGAGACTATCTCCCCTCCAGCCCAAGCACGGCCCCTGGTCCACTACTCCCCTGTCTGCTGTTTACACTAATTCCGGCGGCAAGGCTGCCCAGGCGAAAGTTCTCCGAGGTGAGCAGTGATGGTGGTGGGGCCAGGGGTGCGAGAGTACCGCTGTGGGAAATCAGGGGTCTGAGCCTGGGTGAGGAGAGGGTGCTGGGGCAGAGGGCAGTGCCTGGCAGCAGGATTGGTAAGGTGTGGGCCAGGAACCGGTGTGATGGAAGGCAAACAGCTCACGGCCCCTCCATGCCCACACAGGGGCAGGGCCTCCTTCCCACAGCTCCAAGGAGCCTAAGGGTATGGGTGGGAGGCTAGATCTCCCCTCTGCAGGCACACAGGTCGGGGGCAGGCCTGAGCCTCCTGGATTAGGGGCTCCTGGGATGTGGAATTTGCCCTGCCGGCACCATGGGAACGGCTGGGAGGAGGTATGGGGCAGCTGACAGCATGGCTGTGGGCTCCTGGCTCTGCCTCTTCCAAGCCCTGGGACAGGTCACGGCAACCAGGGACCTCAACGTCCCCATCCGCAGACGGGGCCGCCACTGCCACCTGCAGGGGCTACTGTACAAAAGACTGGTCTGGCAGCCATCCTGGCCTGCACCTGCCCAGGCCCGCCCCACTCTGCTGTTCCGAGGAGGCCCGGGGGTGGGGTGGGGAGGAGCCCTGCCTGGGGAGAGCCTGCTGTCTGCGGGTGGAGACAGGTTTAGCCCCTGGAGACAGCAAGACCTGCTGACACAGGCCAAGGTCTGAGACTTGGCACGGACTGGGCCCTAGGGGCCTGTCTGGGAACGGGTCCGCCCAGACTACCTGGAGACAGGACCTCCTTCCAGGACTGGGAGGTAGTAGCATGGGAGGTGCCCCATCGGGCTTGGGGGCGGCCAGGAGAGCCCCCCATGCACACACACATGCACACAAGCGCGTACACACACACACCGGTGTTGTGTGCACCCCACTGCATCGGCCTGGCCCCTCATTTGTGTGCAGCTCATTCCATCCCTCGGGTCCCAAAAGATGCCACCACCTCTGAGGACCACCCACGATGTGGAACCTGAAGCCCCCTCCCCCATGGCCTCTCCACCGGAAGGAGTTTCCTGCCCATCAGTGATCCTCCTGCTCAGGGTCCGGGCTCCCGCTGTGGGGGTGGGTCCCCAGGCTGCTCCTTCTTAGCTGTGTCTCCATGCCCATTGGCCCAGAGCTGCCACATTGTGTGTGGGGGGGATGGGGGTGTGAATGTATACGGGGTTTGTGGTTAGAAACCAGCTAGAAGCTGGTGGATAGCAGAGGTGGCACTGCCCACTCTGTGTACAGGGGCTTGAATGGGGCTCCTGGTGGACCTGCTGGGGACCTGGGGGACCTGCAAGCCTGAGAACCCTGGGGGTGGGGGGTGAGGGCCAGACCTGGTGGGGACGGTAGGACAGGGTTGGAGGGGACTGGCCGGAGCTGCCCCTGGCTGGTCAGGGCAGTACCGCCTGCCCCCCTCTCCCTGGCCCAGCTCCCTCCGCCCCCTCTGTTCCTGCTGAGGGTCCTGCCAGGAACAGCAGGGGACTGGCCCAGAGGCAGATAAGGACTTCCCCTTCCATACGTCACTGGAGGAAAAGGCCCCAGATTTCCCTCTGGGGGCTGCCTGGAAGCCCACCACACTGCTCACCCGGGGCCCTCAATGCCCACTCCTCCAGGCTAGCTTCTGCTCACCACAGCAGGGCCCTGGGCTGGGCTGGCCACAGGGCACCCCCTATCCTGCAGTCTGGGGTCTTCCCGCCATCCCCTAGGGACACAGAGCAGACACCTCTCCAGTCAGTTGCCAGCCTCAACGTGCCCGCCCACGCACCCGCCTGCTGGCCCTTCCACACAGGCCCTGGGGGCACTGCCGGGCTGTCACTGGTCACTAGTCACCAGGCCCTCAGCCGAAGAAGAGAAAGGGGCCCAACAGGTTCGGTGACCCACCCAAGGTCACCGGGCTGCATCTGGCCGTCACTCAGCAGCGACATGGGGGCAGGGGGCACTCAGATGCCGGATTCATTCCGGTCGCTCCCACCTTCTTCCCCACCCAGGCAATCCACCCTCCCCCGGCTCTCTCCAGCCTCACTCCTTCCGGGGAGGAGGGACTCAGGTTACACCAGCTTGCAAAGCCCCGCGCTCCCCAGGTGGGGGAGGGGTGGGAACGGCGGGCCGGGCGTCTGGGGTTACACGGAGCAGACTGTGGTCCCCAACACGAAAGCCGACCTTGCTGGACGCCAACCCCAACCTAAGTCCCTGGCCAGGTGCCCAGCCCCACCGTAAGCTCATGCCCCGCATCCCCGAGTCTTTGCAAGCTGAAATCTCTCCTCCGCAGGAGCGGCGCTCCGGCGCCCAGCACCACGAGCTCCAGATGTGTCTCCATTTCTAAAGTCCCCTGTCTATCCCTCCCAAGCCCCCCACCCCATCCCCGCCCGCAGGAGGGGTCCCACCAAGTCCCTCGACCCAGTGTGGCCCGCGCTCCTGCCCCCACCCCATTCCTGTCCCCAACCGCGCGTCAGCAGGTCCCAGCCTGTCCGCGGAGAGCGAGTCCGCCGCCTCCTCCCCACAGGCGGCCGCGGCGGAGGCCAAGTCCCGCCCTCCCCGCCATCCCGGGGCTTGCGGCCTCTGGGGACGCGGAGCCGCCCCCCACCCCGCCCCGGCGCCCCCCCCGCTCCGCGCCAGGCCCGCGGCGTCCCTCTTCTGCCAGGGGCGCGCGGTGGCCCCGCCGGGTTCCCGTCCGTCCTCCAAGCTGCGGAGCCGGGGGGACGCGGGCGACCCCGGGTTCCACCTGGACCCTGCGCGGGCCGAACACCCCGGCGTCGGACTGCAGCTCCGGGGTGCGCCCGGACACACTTTCCCGCGGCGCGCCCCCGCCGGGGCAGAGGCCCTTCCAGGGCTCACCTGGATGGTTTGGTTGGGGTCCCCGCCGGCCACCGGGCCCCCCACCAGCTTGCAGTAGAGGTCCTCGATGGGGCGCGGGGCGCCGCGCGCGGACGCTTCCTCGCC